CCCCTCCCAAATACCATGCCCTCCCTCCCCGTTTCATGGCAGCCGAAGCAACAGCAAAGCAGAGGCTGACAGTTTCCTTATAAGTTTACAAAATTTAAAACTGGATATCTTCATTAGAATCAATCATAATGACCTAAAGCAGGATGGGCAAAGGGTCTGATGTCTCCAAATTTGTCATCTGGAAGGATGTCAGCAAAATCAAGAATGGGGAAGAAGCAGCCTGAAAGTCAAAACACAAGCGTGCCTGTCACTGGACTGGAAAGCTACCAATCTCCCAAGGGCAACATCTGATTTAATGTTTAGACTGCCTTCTAGAATCTTTCCGGTGGCAGTGAGCCCTTGGTTATAATCCTGTTGATATCTGAAAGAGGGTTGCATTTAACCATAATGGAAGAAGAAGGAGAGAGTGTGTGCATATTCTGCCCTTTTGTGAGTGAATGGCAGTTATAGTGATGTTGACTGCAGTGCAGTGAAGCATAGGTTTCGCTGCCACTCAGTCGCAAAGAGACCCCTGCTGGCACGTTGTTGTGCTTGTTAAGAAGATTTTGCAACTTGACATAGTAGGAAAGATATGCAAAAACCAAGAAAAACTGACAGCTTTGAAGATTCCCTTATTGTCAGGCTTACTATTGGCTACAAGAGAGGTTGTTTACTATTGTAGTTTCTCTGCTTATTCATTCCTCTTGCCTCTTTCACTGATAATTGCCATTCAACATCAAAATGCAATGGCGCAAAATATTACATTGTAGTAGAGGATTATTTGGGAATGGAGCAAGAGTTGAAAATCTTTGTGTTGCCTCTTATATAGCTGTCTGGGGAGGGGGGAAGGGGGCCAGCTTAGTTTTTATTATCTCACAAAGTCAGAGCACTTTTAAAAGCAGATGCATACAGTCATTTCAGAATTATTTCCTGATTGTGATTTTTGGGGCCAGTGGAATTAATTTGTAATGAACAAGCATTAATGTGGTAAAGGTTAGATGACTTTGGGAGGTTGTCATGACAACAGTGGAACAGTAATAGACATAATTTTATTTATGGCTGTAAGTTGTACCACCGCTTGATCCTCCAATAAGTCAGTTTTTATAAATTTAACATTTTTAGAAAGAACCATCATGGTTCTGTCTAGATTCATGATGGTCAATCTAGACAGCATACTAAAAAGCAGAGACATCACCNGCTGCGACAGCCTCCTGCAAGCCTCCACCAGGGAAAATGGCGCTTGGGTGGGTTGCACGCATCCCTTCCGAGCTCCCGTTTTTCCTGGCAGAAGCACCACAGGCTGGTCCTTTGCTGTTTCCAGGACGGCCCGAGGGCCAAATCCGGCCCCCGGGCTTTGAGTTTGACACCCCTGCTCTATGTCTTATGAAACAGGGGAGTGGGGGACGACTCCCGCCTTCCACCCAAGGTCCCTCTATTTTTTTTTGCAGGAGAAGAAAATAGCTGCTCACCAAGAGGAACATAAACGCCTCCAAGCCGCCAGTGAGAAAGCGCAGTCGGAAATGGGTGCCCGGCACGAAGAATCCCTGAAGGCACTCCAGGAAGAGCTTCAGAAGAAGGAGCAGCTGCTGGCCAAGACTCAAAAGGCCAACGGCGAGTTAGAGAAACAGGCCAAGGAACTGAAGAAGGAAGCCGAACATGCAAAGGTAGGCATCCGTCTTTGGCGTCTGCGGGGCGGTTTGTCCCTGCCGAAGAAACGGCCCCGTGTTGAGATGTTCCTTGATGTTCTCCGAGCTTGGCGGTTTTCGCGCCAACGTTTCATCACCGTGGCCCTGATGGCGTTAACCTAGTTGGCTCGTGAAACGCCCCCGCGAGAACACCGCCAAGCTCAGAGGAGCCCGCAGTCCTCCTTCCTTGCCCCTCCTCCTCCACCTCTTTCCCCTTCTAGCACGGATGGTGTTGCCCAGTTGGGTCAGGAAACATCTGCAAGGAAACCACCCAGCTCAGAGAGAGAATAACGGCGTTGGAAGGGGCCTTGGAGGTCTTCTAGTCCAACCCCCTGCACAAGTAGGATGCCCTATAACATTCGGACAAATGATTGTCCGGTCTCTCTTCAAAAGCCTCCAGCGATGGAGCGGTGAATCCAGTGTGGTGACCTTCAGAATCCCAACAAGGATGTCCCTATCTTCTAGGCCAAGATTTTCCAATTTTGGTAACTTTTAAGACCCGTGGACTTCAACTCCCAGAATTCCCCAGCCAGCGATGCGTTGAAGTTCACAAGACTTAAAAGTTGAGAACTTTGTGGACTTCAACTCCCAGCATCCCTCAATTCCACAAGACTTAAAAGTTGAGAACTTTAAGACTTGTGGACCTCAACTCCCAGCATCCCTCAATTCTGGGAGTTGGAAGTCCACAAGACTTAAAAGTTGAGAACTTTGTGGACTTCAACTCCCAGCATCCCTCAATTCTGGGAGTTGGAAGTCCACAAGACTTAAAAGTTGAGAACTTTGTGGACTTCAACTCCCAGCATCCCTCAATTCTGGGAGTTGGAAGTCCACAAGACTTAAAAGTTGAGAACTTTGTGGACTTCAACTCCCAGCATCCCTCAATTCTGGGAGTTGGAAGTCCACAAGACTTAAAAGTTGAGAACTTTGTGGACTTCAACTCCCAGCATCCCTCAATTCTGGGAGTTGGAAGTCCACAAGACTTAAAAGTTGAGAACTTTGTGGACTTCAACTCCCAGCATCCCTCAATTCTGGGAGTTGGAAGTCCACAAGACTTAAAAGTTG